CAACAAGTGAATCTAAAAATCAAGTGAATAAATCATCTGATGAACAGAATAAACTGGTGATTATAATAGAATCAGGGGCATAGAAAGGGAGTGGACTGACTATTCTCAGGGGGGAAAGGGGTGTGGGGGATTCGGGAAGAGACTGAACAAAAATCGTACACCTATTGATGAGGACAGTGGGGGTGCAGGGGTAAGGGCCGAGAGTGAGGTGGGAATCAGGTGGAGGGGAGCTATGGGGGGGAAAAAAAAGGAACAACTGTAATAATCTGAACAATAAAGATTTAATTTAAAAAAAAAGAAAGAAAGAAAGTCAGAGCTCCAAAGTAGTAAACCCCTATTTGACTGGGATAAAAAGCTAAAGCAAAGAGTTATTAAAAAATAAACAACCAAAAAAGAAGAGGTTTGGGAAAAAATGGGGAGTGACTACTAATGGGCACTGGGTATCTTTTTGGAGTAATGAAAATGTTCTAACATTGATTGTGATAATGGTTGCACTATTCTGTGCATATACTAAAAACCACTGAATTATACATTTTAAATGGGTGAACTGTATGGTATATGAATTATATTTTAATAAAGCTGCTATAAAATAGAAAAAAATCATGAAATTTTGCCATCTGCAACAACATGAATGGACCTAGAGAATATCATGCTAAGTGAATAAGTCAGACAGAGAAAGACAAATACTGTATGGTCTCAGTTATATGTGGAATCTGAAAAACAAAACAAAAACAGACCCATAAAAACAGAGACTAAATGGATGGTTACCAGAGAGGAAGGAGTGGAGGGGTGGGTGAAAAATATGAAGGGAATATAGTCAATAATATTGTGATAAGTTTGCACTGTGATCATATTTAAGGTATAAAACTGTCAAATCATTATTTTGTACAGCTGAAACTAATATTATATATCAACTGTACTTAAATAAAAAGAGAAATTTTAAAAATTAAAAAAATAATAAAGTTTCCTTCACCAATTAAACAAAATAAACCCATATGCAGACATGGAGTAGGCAGAGTTGGTCTTGATCAGGAATGGAGTTTACCATAGCATTCAACCAAAGGAAAATAACAGAAGGAAATTGGTGGCATATACAATCAAATGTTATACAGACTGACCATAGAAAGTAAGCTACAAAAGTAAGAATTGGGGTGGGGGGTGCAAAAAGGTAATAAGGGCAATGGATATTATAGTAAGGTCTAAGAACTTTTAGAACTGTAGCTGCTATATAATATACAAAATGTCAAGATGCCTGCCCTCACCAAGCCAATCTTGGACAGCCTTGCTATAAGATAGTATATGATAAATGCCTGCTCGGTATCACAAAATGTACTTCATGTGAGTTCACAGAAGGAAGAGCCCAAGTCCTAGTAGGCTGTCCCAGGAGGGTTCATGGAGGTTGGGGGTGGGCAAATAAGGTCTAGAAAGATACATGATATTTTAATTGGTCTATGGGAAACACACTGCAAAGTGGGGGGAAAGCACAAGCATGAATAAAAAAACACTCAACATTTCTTGAGGTAAGAGAAAAAAACCTTAATATTAATGTTGATTGAGAAAGCTACAGTTCACAATTGGGAAAGCGGCCTACAAATAATGACAGGTCTTTAGCGAAGAGTTCTGGGTAATTTCCCTAGAGAAAGACTGAGCAATAAAAGACAGTAATACTCTCAGGACATGAAGTGTCCTAGGAGTAGGAAAACTAAAAGGCAAAAACTATTCCCAAGAAATAAATGCTCTTCCTTTCTGACCCACTTTCCCTCCAGTGGTTCTCAACCTTCTGGCCCTTTAAATACAGTTCCTCATGTTGTGACCCAACCATAAAATTATTTTTGTTGCTACTTCATAACTGTAATGTTGCTACTGTTATGAATCATAATGTAAATATCTGATATGCAGGATGGTCTTAGGCGACCCCTGTGAAAGGGTCGTTCGACCGCCAAAGGGGTCGCGACCTCCAGGTTGAGAACCACTGCCTTACACACACACACACACACACACACACACACACACACACACCTTTCATCTTTCATTTAGAATTGTTTCGTATATTTAATTTTCTGCTATGAAAATGGTCAGCTACATTTACAGAAAAGCAATATATTTACCTTTCATCCTCAGATTCTGGAAGAAAATATTTGGAAGCAATAGGATTAGAGTATGTGGGATTTAAAAGGCTTTGATTACTATTGTTAACGTAAAAAAAGCATTGAAACCTGTAAAGAATTTTTGGTGAGTTTATTTGAGCCAAACTGTCGACATATGCCAGGAAGCAGAACCTCAACGAATTGAGATAGTGCTCCGGAGAATGGCGGGGGTACATTTGTATTTATACATTTCAATCAAAGGAGGTACATAGGGGGGTTACATGAAATTCATTGGTGATAAATTAAGGAGGAGGGATAAAGCAAAGCAGGGAAACCCTTGGGATTGGATAAAAAGTAAAATGATGGACACATACTTAGGTGGGTGCAGGAACAATTAACATGATGATGAAGGAATTTGTGGTATCTGTCCTGGTACCTAGCGCATTTGGTTGTGCCCCAGGGGCTCCAGATACAGGGAAGTCACAAGTTACCCAGACATTTCAAGGGTATGTTATCATAGATGCAAAAAGACAGACAGGCTCAGTTAAGGTAAAGGTTGACCTTGTCAGTGAAGATACTGGCCTAGGACGTAACTGCCCACCATAACTGCTTTTAGTTAAAGTTTAATTTCAGACCATCCTTTGTGGTTACTTTAGGTCTCCGAGTTTGCAAGAATGCCATACAGGCCTCCCCTGAGCTTTTGTCAGGTCAGCATGTGGCCCCTTTCATCCACACTATTAACACTTTCTTTTTTAATAGTAGATGTACTCTCACCATACAGACCCAGTTTTTCATTCCTCTAGGAAACAAGATGCACAAATACATTGTACTCTTTTTTTTTCTAAACCTGATGTCATTTCTATTTTATTTTTAAGGGAAAAGTAGCATTTCAATGTACTTTGGTTTTCAACATAGTCATCATTAAACAACAAGAAATGTAGTTTCTCCTAAGCTTGTGCAGATCATTGTTGTGGAAATAGTCACCCTCTTTTTGCATAACTATAAATATTTAGGGAAACCTGCCAGTATATTCAACCCCTCCTATTTTTCACAAGAATTTCCTACTTCAAGTGGAATATTTAGAAACAGTAAGAAGGGCTAGATGTTTCCATATGACTTTAATAATACTGTAGTATTTGTATTCACATACCATATAATCCTGGTACTTCATAGCTCATTATCATTCAAAATTTACAAAGCAGTATATGAAAGCACAAGGTTTAGAAGCAGCTCTTCTCCTGCCCAACAGTAAGTTATTAATGCCAGGATTGGGACTCATAATTACCAACATATGTGGTCCTACAATAGCTCGAGATCAGTCTCATAACAAAAAATAAAGTGCTCAGTAAGTACAATTATCAATTACCAACACCCCATTTATTCAAGATAATTGAAGAAACATGTATCTTTAATCATATGAATAGCCACCATATTAAACCTCATAGGTCTACATGAATCTATATTTAGATTCATGTATCATTCAATTAAAGTGAATACTTAATATGAATTAATAAATATTTATATACATATAGAATCCAATTAGTTCCACAAAGTAGAATATGTTTCCATCAAAAAAAGTCATCAAATATGACAACATATTTAAAAATGTGAAGTACTGTTTCAAAAATTCTTCACCAACATGCTATAAGGGTACAGATGCCACTGGTCAGATTGCTATATATTGTATCAAGTGTCTCTTTAGTGAGAATCAAAACATCCATTGTTTGCTGATTTAATTAGGAAGGTAAGGTCCCTAGTTTTCTTAGCAGTGCTTAGCTGTGGTTTTGATTCCAGTGTCCTGAGCACTCATATGTCTGGGAGATTCTGTAAGATCTGTCTCAACGAAGCACAGGCTACCACATGAGCATCAGAAGGAAGGTTAGCAAGTGACTGTATCAACTTCTTAACTATTGTCTTCAAACACTGGTGAGCAGCATTCAAATCTCTGTCAAACTGCTGTCCTTCGATCTGTAGAGCCAGATGACTGCAGATGTTTCTAAACTCAACACTGTCCTGAAAGGAACAGCAAAAACCAACAAGCAATTAGACAGATTGTTGAGGACATTTGTTTTATACTTTGTGTACCCAGCTTCCATCCCCATCTCTTCTGATGACAGCACTCTGACTTTTCTCCCAGAGAACTGCTCTCCTCCATTCTCAGCCTGTGTGGTTTGACCAAAGCTGACTCCACACCACAACTCCAGGGACCAGGCTAATCAGAGCATATCACGCCTCAGCCACTTGGATTCATTAGGGATGGACAGGTGACTCAACACAGGCCAATAAGCCACAGTCCCAGAATATTTGCGAGACTGGGAAAAAGAAACACTTTTTAACTGAAGCTGTTGGAAAATATCTTGCTACCACAGGGGAGAATCCAAATTACAATGATGCCAACACAGAGAAAACTAGACCCAAGAAATTTAAAAAGACTGATTCTAATTACATTTTCTGAACATGTCAACTTAGTCATATGTAAATAAACTCCAGGATTTTTTGTTTATCTGAGTCAACAATTATCCCTTTTTACTTAAGCCATTTGAAGTTGAATTTCTGTTACTTGTTCCTAACAGAGCTTTGACAAATACACAAATAGCCTCTGTTCCTGTTATTCTGTACTCACTTTCTTCAAGTTTCCAATATAGGATTTAAGATTGAACAGGGTATCAAGAAATTTCCAGTGCAAATTTAGAAAAAATAGTTCCTAGGTGGCTTAAAACAAGGAAGTAAGTGAATAGATTTTTAATCCCAAAATGTTTCATAGTCTAAAATACATTGCATGTAAATGGTACACTGAAATTACTCCACATTACATGGTTTATTTTAAAATCAATGGAAATGATTTCCCACAGACTTCTGGGTCTGGCAACATGGCATGTTTATTTTCTTCAAAACCTCTTGCTACTAAATGAATGCTAAATAAAATAGAACAAACATCCTTTTTGCACTTGCAGGTAAGTAATGGAAATCCCCAAGGGCCAGAAATAAAAGATTATTTTAACTGCCTGCCAATACCCATCAGAAAAAGAAAATCAGTCTCTCTCTTAAACTGAGTTTAGGATGAGGGTAAAGTTTTCCCAAGAATGTGTAACTATGGGCCTGTACTACACAGAAGTTTAAGTTTGGAGTTGCCCTCTACATCATATACATGTTCTGGGAACACTCATGCTAAGAAATTAACTTCAAATTGAAACTGGGCTGAAATATCCATGGACACAAGGAAAAGCAACCAAAAACCTATTCCACAGAACATGTCCACAACCCACGCCCCACTGTGGTATTCCCATAAAGCTCTGTCAAACACATGCTCTGTATATGAAACTTAAAATACAATTCACCATGATATAGCAGATACAATGCAGGGCGATATTAAATTACAAAAGTTTCAAATATAAACTATAAAATATGCTTAAAATGATTAAAGATATAAAAGAAGGAATAAAAAACTTTTAAAGAAAAATCAGGCCCTAACCGGTTTGGCTCAGTGGATAGAGCGTAGGCCTGTGGTCTGAAGGGTTTCAGGTTCGATTCCAGTCAAGGGCATGTACCTTGGTTGTGGGCACATCCCCAGAAGGGGGTGTGCAGGAGGCAGCTGATGGATGTTTCTCTCTCATCCATGTTTCTTACTCTCTATCCCTCTCCCTTCCTCTCTGTAAAAAAAAATCAATAAAGTATAGTTTTTTTAAAAAAGAAAGAAAAATCAGGCTTGAAAAAGAACCAAATACAACTTCTAGAAATGACAACTATCATGACAAATTAAATACTCAATGGACAGTTTAAACACTTGAATAAATACATCTGAAGTGAAAAATAGTAAACAGGATGATAAATGTGAGAAAACTGCCCAGAAAATAAAAAATAAACAGAGGGAAGATGGGGTGGAGGGATAGGGAGAGATTAACCAGGGAATTTGCATGCATATATACATAGCCCATGGACACAGACAATAGCGTGGTGAAGAACCAGGAGGGGTGGGTACAGAGTGGAAGGGGTCAATGGAAAAAAAAGGGGACATCTGAAATACTTTCAATAAAGATAAATTTAAAAAAGAAAAATAACAAAACTCCACAACTCAAAACAGGAGGGGTGGGTACAGGGTGGAAGGGGTCAATGGAAAAAAAAGGGGACATCTGTAATACTTTCAATAAAGATAAATTTAAATAAATAAATATTTTTTAAAATGACCATTCTTTATAGGCAGATTATGCAAAAGGTAGATAAGTCAAATTGTGTCTCTCAAGAGCCACAAGACATCTCTTAACCTGTGTCTGTCTCTCAGGAATTCTCTCTTCCCTTAGCTCCAATGGAAAATAACAAAACTCCACAACTCAAAAAAAATAAAAAAAGTTAAAGACATGGGAAATATGAATGAGAGGCTAAGCAACATGGATGACAGAATGCCGAAGTACAACAAATGCATACCCAGAGCGACAAGAGAATCATGAATAATATTATCCAATTCTGATCCAAAACATGAATCCTTAGATTCAGGAAATAAAACAAGCCTTGTACAGAGTAAGTTAAATGATACACAAATCTAAACTCAATAAGGCAAAACTACTCTTAAAAGTAACCAGAGAAAATAGACAAACAGGTTTTAAGGGATGACAAGACAGACAATGAACTTCTAAGCTACAATTGAACATAGAAAAAATAGAATAATATTGCCAAATAACTTTCAACCTAGAATTTTTTTTAATCTAAGTAAACTATTAGGGCAAAATAAATATATCTTCATTTAGAAGGACAAAGGAGTTACCACAAATAGACTCTCACTGTCAGATCTCCCTCAAGATATAATTCAGAAAGAGGAAATTCAATGCAAAAGGAAAGAATGAGATACAAGAAGCAACAGTGAATGAAGAAACTTAAAAATATGTTATAAATCTAAAGAATTGATTGTTCAAAAAAAAAATCATAACAACTAACTTGGAGTTTACAAAAGCAAGATGATTCAAAAATGCTGAATGGTAGTAATATGTAGGATGAAGAGATATTTTAAGGCATTGCATTTGTTCAAGAGAAAGGTGGCAAAATTGATAAATTTCAGATTTTTTAATTATGTACATGAGAAATGTAAGCATTATTATTAAAGTAGAGAAATAACATATACAACTTCAGAATTAGCAGAGGGAAGGTACATTAAAACTTTATTGATCCTATCTATAAAGGTAAAAATGAAAAAATACACAAACATAAAGCAAGGTGAATAGAAAGCACCAAATAAGACACCTTTGAAATATATAGTGGTAACCAGACTGTATTTAAAAAATCTATATGCTTTTAAAAATTTTTTTAAACTAAAAGTACCTAAATATTAAAAGTAAATGAATACTAACATATATACCAAGCAGAGAAGACAAAATAAAGCCAGAAAAATCATTATTAAGTATAAAATAAACCTCAATTAATAGAAGAAATTATTCCCCTAAGGAGATATAACAATTTTGTACTTGTGTGTGCCTACTATGGTAACCTCAATTTACATTCAATCCACAAACATAGAGACATTTTAGTTCAGCTTTCTCAGAACCTGACAGATCAAACAACATAACAATCAGCTTGGAGAGAAAAGATAGAAACACTAATCACAACCTTGGTCCAATGGAGATAAACAAATATACATTATTCTCAAAAATATATAAAATATCTATGAATGCTGACTATATTATAATATGTCACAATGCAAATCTCAATGAATAAAAAAGTCTATGTTATACAAATCACAATGCAATAAATGAGAAATCAATAACATAGATAACCTTCCCAAAACATGTATTACCTAGCAAGCTACTTGTAAATAATTCATGGTTCAGTGAAAAAAATTTAAAATTTTAAAATACTTTATACTGACCAATTACGAAAATACTATAACACAAATCTATGGGATATGGCTACAGTGAGAAATGCTAGACTTAAATGCTTATATAAGTAAAGAATAATGCCTGAAAAACCATGAGCTAAGAATTCAACTCAGTAATTCAGGAAAAGAAAATAAATAATCCAAAATAAAATAAAAGGTAGAACTAAAATTGAACCTATGTTTGATGAAGAACTAGAGTTTTCTTCCTAATTCTTAATAGAAAAACAAAGCTATTCTTCTCCCTAATAAAGACTTTGTCATGATGCTCTGATCAGGTGGCTCGGATGGAGCATCATCCTGCACACCAAAAAGGTTGCAGGTTCAATTCCTGAGTGAGGCAGATGCAGGAGGCAACTGATAGATATTTCTCTCTCACATCAATGTTTATTTCTTTCTTTCTTTCTTTCTCTCTCCTCTGTCTCTCTTCCTCTGTCTAAAATCAAAACCATATCCTTGGGTGAAGATTTTTTAAAAAATAAAGCTTTCCCTCCCCCTAAAAAACAATAACAAAAAATAGAAAAACAAACAAACACTGTCACTTAGGTGAGAAGAACCTGGGTTTCTGGCAAAATGTTTAATAGAGAACATCTTCCAAGAAGCAAAACAAACATCCATTTCTTCAATTCAGCAAACAGTGGCAGTAGGACCCCAGTGTGAGCTAGGCATAGGATAGAAAACTAAACATGCTACAGGCCCTTTACTCAAGGCTTCACAGGCTACCACACGCTTCGGTTTCTTCTCTTTAAAGCATTCTTGCTTCCCTGCCGTTGTGTGTTACTCATTTTTCCTCAGAAGGTATCAAGGGGCTACTTAGATGATCTGCCCCATAGTTTATAGGCCAATCTATATTGCTGGAGCACATTGCTTGGGAATGGGAAAATCTGGGAAAAATGACTCTGGACTACTTGCCATAGATCCACATCAAGGAAAATGGTCCGCTTGCTTTACAGAAGTGATCCAACTCTAAGTACAAAGTGGGAGGATCAAAGACAACTTGCAAAGGGAAATTCAAAATAGAAGGAACCACTGAGATGTGTGCGGACACATGCCTATTAGCCAGTCTGCAAAGGCATTTGTCACTCAGAGAAGATGAAAATGCCCTTACAATGTATTTGTGGGCCTAATATCTGTAGTCAATGTCACACTTACT